AGCTGATGTTTTTGTACCATCAAGAACACCTTGTAAATAAATTGATTGCGTTCGACTTGAATAATCATAAACATATGCAATATGATACCATGTATTTATCGATAATGATGTTGAACCAATAACATCATCTAATAGAAAGCTCATATACATTTTATGATTTCGAATAATTAAATAAAGACATTGATCTTGACATGAATTACATGAACATTGAGAAAATATGGGTTGATCACCTGTAAGTGTATAACCATAAATCCATGCTTCAACAGTAAAACTTGTATAAGATAAATTGAAAAATGGATTTGTAATAATAACAGATTGATTCACTGAATCATTTAATGCTAAATTAAAACCATAATCAAAATAAGTAGTGTTTGAAAATGATGCACTATTGACAAGAGCACCATTATATGTTCCATATAAATCATTAACATCATTATCAAAACTCCAATAAGCAGTAATAATTGTAGGAGCAATAGTAGATGTTGCACTAGTATCTATGACTAAAGAAAAAGTCTATTAAACATTGATATTTATTTTTATATCAATATCTCTTCTATTCAACAAATAACAGAGAATTTTTTTCGAATAAAATTCTATAAAATATGAATTATACAAGTAATTTATAGTAGAATAACACAAGATAAAATTATCGAATAATTCTTTTTTTTTTCTTTATAGAAAAATTTTATTCATAGTTTTATACCTGTAGGATTTCGTGTAAGAATAACTGCAAGTACAGTTGGTACCACAATCAAAATAGAAATACCTAAAAGAATTCCACCAGCAATAAATAAGCCTGTTATTGATGTAGTTGATAAAATAGGTCTAAGATTAGAAAAATGAAAACAATTCAAAATAAAAAACAAAACTTAATCATCTTACGTATCATCATTATATGAAACTTGCTTTTGTTGTGGAAAATCTTCATTGGTTTTAAGTAATGAATCATTTGATTGTGGTCTCTAGAATAAAATAAATAGAATAGAAATTAGAATAATTTTTATCTACTAATAGTTTGTATAAAATATGAAAATATTAATTTTTTTTTCCTTTTTGTATAGATTGACTTACTCTATTTGTTGATGAATATGATTCAGCTATACTTGATGGTGAATATCGTTCAACTATATTTGTTGAAATTACATCATCTTCATCATTAATTGGTTGAATTCGTCGTGTATTATTTCTTTTTATTTCTCTTTGAAAACCATAGCTTCTAGGTTTATAACCTCGATTATCCATGATCTTGCTATTTGTGTGTAACTAGTTACTTGGTTTTTTTTGTTTAAATGTCTACCAATATTGTTTTTCCTTCTTGACATATGAAAAGGTGTAAGTGCTGTTAAAAGAAAGCAAACAAATGTATTAACAAGTAAAATTAAATTACGCAGTTTTTTCAAAGATGTTGTTGCTGTGTAAATTGTCCATGACATTATGTGTCTGTTTTTATTGAAAGAAATAAAGTTGTTTTGGAAAATATTCAGTTTTTTATTAAGTTTATATTTAATTGAAAAGAAAAGAAAAATTAATTCTTTTTGATTATTAATTTTAAAAGACCGGTGTAATACAAAAATTCAGTATAAGAAAATAATTCATACGACTTCACTATTGATTAAAACAACATTACGTTTTTAATTACTTATATATTTTTATTATGATTCTGAAGATATTCTTTATCAATAGAATTTTCAACATAAATAAATCGAATGATAGATTATGAAATAGGTGAAGTTCATGCATCTCTTATTAAATCACTGTTCGTCTAAGATTTTATTCAGCCAAATGTCGTGACGATTTGGATAATTTAAACAATTATAATTCTATAGCAAAGATAATGGGTACTTTTACTCAAATGATTTCTTCTTCAGATAAAAACCATAATCTAATAATGAAGACATTGTTTACAGTTTTTTTTCTCTAATCATGACTTTTAAAACGGCTTTTAGAAATTTTTCAATAAATCTCTTGAATTTAAAACTGAAGTATTATAATGCATAGTATAATATAAATATCATTAAAATAAAAAGTATCAATTTTCGAATGAGTTTAATAGCAAATGATTATTTCTATTAATTTGTTTTTACGTTTCCAATTATTTTGAACTATCATCATAAATATATATTAATATCAGTATGCATGCCAAACATTTAATTTATGAAATAATTTTATTATGTCTGGTTTATGTTGTACATAAGCTATTTCAAATAACAACGTAGACATTTATTATTAAATGGTATATATTTAATAAGTGTGATCATCAGAAAATAGCTTACATATAAAGAAAATTTCAATGAACAAATGTCATACATGGGCGTATCTCGTCAATTTTTATTCGGAAATGTTTTTTTATAAAGAAAACAAAAAGAAAATGCCTCACTAATGCTAAATGTGTCTCATGCAATTAATATGACAATTTGACATGCAGGAGATTATCTCTATGGGAAACATAATATGATTAAAAAATATGATCGACAAAACGAAGTATTCTTTTCTTCTTTTTAGGGAGTTTATCATAAATAATTGTTAAGAAAACTAGAATAAAAGAATCGTTGTAACTTTTTTTTTTCTAGGAACGATTTATTTGATTTGTGTTTTCATTGTTGATCTGATAATGTTTTTGATATTTAAAAAAGAGAAAAAAAATATCTTTATTATCTATAAGGAAAAAACAAAAGAGGTCAGTAAATAGCAAATATCTATCTCATCGTTGATTGGTGAATCGTCTGAACTAAGATGACTCAATCAGTAGCATTCGCGTGTTTTTTCAAGGAAAAAAGAACAGAAAAATTCTTTTCAGAGTGTCAGATCGCTTGCCATATGCAAAATGCTATTGCATGAATACAGAATATGTCTACCATTTACAGTTGAAGAAGTAAAATTCAAAAAGTTTATATTATATAATTAGATATTTTATATTTTCATTTTTCTTAGTATCATATTGGACAACTTTATATGATATGTAAACACTGTGAAGTTGAATCAAATAAAGATGATGGTGTTGAAGTTGTACGAAATGAACCAATTACTAA